AAAAAAGAGGGGCTCTAATTTCTTCCTTGCTTGGCAGGGTGAGCGCTCAGAATGAAAGCTAAGTTGCTTTACTTGTTACCAAGGTAGCGGAATAACTGGGATTCTCATACACTGGGGTAGGAGTAGAAAATGAGACAGCCACTCTAGAAAAGAAAGTGTTTCCTGCCCACTGGAGTTTGTAAAGTGCATCATAATCATAGCAAAGAATCCTCACGATACCGTATGCCATTGTCAAATAGCTATGATGACTCTCATCTTGTAGACGAAGAATCAAGGCTCAGAGAAAATCACTGAAGCTGGCCACAGGGCTGTTTCTACCGTGCCTGCTCCAATGCTTGGCAGGGGTACTGCGGCCACGGCACACAACTTTAGCAAAAGCACTGTGGGAAACGCAGCTCCCACGTTGGGAATGCAGATCTGGTGGTTCTGGGAGAAAAGGTGTGGACTGTAGGAAAGTGAAAGTTGTCTGTCTATAAAGAAGGGTTCCTTGAGCCTGGGTAAAAATGGCATTCCCACGTTAGGGGATAGGAAAAGAGCTGCTGGGAGTTTCCCTGAACCGTTCGGCTTCCTGTAGCTCATGCAAACCAAGTGTTTGTTCCTGGGCCACTTAGGAAGCCTGCTCCTCCCTCACTCTTGGTTCCTTTGACCCTTGCCTAGATTTCCTGGCACAGCCACCAGTGAAACTCACATCCTGGGAGCCAGGGCTGTCCTCTCCCGCCCTCACCACTGGCCCTCTGTGTCTCGTCCAAGCCATCGCCTTCATTCGTGTATTTAAGGTCTCTATGTACCAGGCAGAACACTGCGTAGGAGCTGCAATCCAAAGAGAATAATCATAGCAAATGCTACTGTAGTAGTCAGGGTTCTCTAGAGGGACAGAACTAATAGGATAGATGTATATATGAAGGGGAGTTTATTAAGGAGTATTGACTCACACGGTTACAAGGTGAAGTCCCACAATAGGTCGTCTGCAAGCTGAGGAAAAAGGAGGCCAGTCCAAATCCTAAAGCTGAAGAACTTGGAGTGCAGCGTTCGAGGGCAGGAGGCATCCAGCACGGGAGAACGACGCAGGTTGAGGCTAAGCCAGTCTAGCTTTTCCACGTTCTTCTGCCTGCTTTTATTCTGGCCGTGCTGGCAGCTGATTAGATTGCGCCTACCCAGATTGAGGGTGGCTCTGCCTTTCCCAGTTCCGCTGACTCAAATGTCAGTCTCCTCTGGCAACACCCTCACAGACACACCCAGGATCAATACTTTGTATCCTTCAATCCAGTCAAGTTGACACTAATGATAACCATAACGCTTGTCATTTACTGAAAGGTTTTGTTGGGCTTGTGAGGGGCGAGTGCTTTGTGACTTTGGCACAGTCCCCGCTCTCAAGGAGCTCACAGTCAGGAAGGAAAGAAACGCAGGTGGAATTTCAGCCTGGAGTTCCTGTGCTGCCCTCAGGGAGTGCTGGGCCTGAGCTGGCGTGAGGCTGCAGGGCCCTTCCTGGAGAGACTTGAGGGAGACGCCTGGGGGAGTGGCTCAATGAAAAGGTCGCTGGCAGGGCAGCATCTTCCACGTCAGGATTGTCAGGTTCTCTTCTGTCCCCGGAGAGTGGTCCTGGGAGGCCCCGGCACAAGCAGGACCTGCTTCTGGGAGGAAGTCATTCAAGGCCACTGCTATACAAGAGAAACTGTGGCAGGACATTTTTGTGGCTGCATGAACAATTTCTCCCCTCTTTCCCTTTTGCCCATTCGGAGGGGCCGTTTGCCCTTCCATCAGGGAAGGGTGAGAAGGGGTGGAGTGCAGGAAAAAAGAGCCTTCCAGACTGTGTTTCCGAAAGCTTTGCCCTTAGGGCAACAGAGAGGGTCTTGCCCTGTCTCCCAGGCTGGAGTGCAGTGGTACAATCACAACTCACTGCAGCCTCAACCTCCCAGGCTCAAGCGATCCTCCTACCTCAGCCTCCTGACTAGCTGAGACTACAGACGTGTACCACCATGCCCAGCTAATTTTTAATTTTTGTACAGATGGAGTCTCACTATGTTGCCCAGGCTGGTCTCAAATTCCTGGGCACAAGCAATCCTTCTGCCTTGGTTTCTCAAAGTGCTGGGACTATAGGTGCCTGCCACTGTGCCGGCCCAGTCCTGTGCTTAATTTTGGAGCCAGAGCCTCGATGGGGCGTGGGGGTCTCTGATCTTGCAGAAGCAGAATTGTTGGGGCCATCACCTCCCAACCTCATGCTTTTCAGTGTCCTAAGCTTGAATTGCTGTCTCACCACTGCCTGCAGGGTAGTCCTGAGCAGGCTGTTTCACTTCTCCGAGCCACAGTCTCTCCCCTGCGAACCAGGGAAAATGGCAGCCCCTCCCTCATGTGGTTGCTGTGAGGAGGGGTAGGAGGTGAGTCTAGCAAAGCCTGGTCCACAATTTCCAGCTCCTTCTCCCTCCTCACCTCCTTCTTCCCCTTCCTTCCTTTCTGCCCCTTGCTCCTCTGACCCTGAGGACCCAGGGGTCAAGCCTCACCCTGCCTTCTGCTTCCCTACTCCCTTTCTCCCCCAGCAGCCAGCCCCAAGGATGCGTTCCTTCCATCCCCGATCTGCCTATTAATTACCAGATCCACATTGCAGGAGGACCTCTGAAGATGCTCTGAAAAATCAACTGGCAAAAGGCAGATTAATTGGAGGAAAGTCATACAAATTTATTTAACATGTGTCCCCAGGAGCCTTCAGAAGGCAGACCCAAAGATAGGGGGAGAAATTGTTCGTTTTTGTGCTTAGGTTCAACAAAGTGTGGGCAGCTGTGTAGAAACATGATTGGACAAAGGGCCTGATCTAATGTGAATAGACTGAGTGGGGAAACCCGGCCAGGCCTGTCTGTCTAGTTTCTTCTCGGTCTCTCTGAGCATGAAGTCCTTCTTTCTGGGCGTGGAGCAGGGTCCTCTCTGGAATGGGGGTTTCATGACCTACAGTCAAATGATGATCCCTTCAGATCATTTCTTTACAGCCAGTTTCTACACAGCAAGGCAAGGGCAAGTTAGAGTAATATTTTTAGGTTTTATGGCTGACTTGGGGAAAAGGGGTTCTAGTTCCTATGACTGACTTTGGGGAGAGTGGGGCTGAGAGACAGGAAAGCAGGAGAAGGTCAGAGAAAAGCTTTTGCTTCTGAGGCCTTCATTTTGGGACACTGTTTTCTGAGTCCCCACACAGGGATCTCTTCCGCATCCTCCAGGCTGCAGCTCCAGCACCTCACACCCTGCTGGCAGCAACAGACACTGGATAAGTATTTGTTTAGTAAAATCCAGCAGTTTGGGTTGCAAAGAGGAAGAGAGTAAAGAGCAAGGAATAAAAGGCCAGAAGGTCAGACGCAGCCTCTGCCACAGTCCCCGCCAGCTCCGGGGGCTTGTCCCATGCCCAGCCAACACCCAGTCATCGCCCAGCCAGTGCCCAGCCATGCTGCCCCAGGCACTGCTGCTCTCCTTCTGTGCAGCAGGTGAGGCCCCCCGGCCTGGAGGAGGGTGCCTGGCTCCATGCTCCCCAGGGCTGGAGGCTGAGGGAAGGCGGCACTCCCCTGAAGTTCCCAGATTTCCAGGTTGGAGGGGAGGTAAGGTAGAAAGAAATGAATACTTTTCAACCGTCAGAACAGGGGTGGGAAGGGAGCTTCGCCCTCATCACCCCTAACCAGACAGTACTCAGTCAGCACCCAGAAGGCAGCAGTCAGAAACAATGCGGCTCCAGCAGCTTCCATTCTAGCGGGGCTAAGACATTCCTCAAGGAGACGGCCTCGCAGGTCACTTCAGAAGCTTGTGCGATGCAGGGAAGACCATCACCAGGGTGTGGACAGGGACGGGCATTGTGGGGGTCTGTGGACCAGGGGGCGGCAAGGGTTCTCGGAGGAAGGGAGCCGTGGGTGAGTCTGAGGGTGAGAAGGAGCCGCCAAGACAGCCAGGAAAAGCCCTGGCTGGGAGGGTGGCGGCTGCTGATGCGGGTGGGAGGGGAGGGCGAAGGGCCCCATGGCTGCGGCCCAGGTGGCTGTGGGCGGTCAGGTCTTAGGCCCTCTGGCTGCAGAGCGGGGGTGTGTGGGCGCTGCTGAGGGTAGAGAGGCCTCGGGCCCAGGTGTCCGCAGGCACGCAGAGAAGGGCGAAGTTCAAGGCAACGGAACTGACTAGAGGTCACAGAGAGACAGAGGTTGCCACCAGGGCTCCGGGGTGGGGCTGGAGAGACCGGTGGGAGGGGCACCCTGCACGGCGCTGGGGGGCGGGGGTGGACACCGTCCTAAAATCAATTATGTGGGCCACAGCCAGTCATTCAACAAAAAAGTAAGCAGAATGCTTTTCTTAGCGACAGGAAGCATCCTCCGCTGTGGTGGGTGTGAGGAGCTGGTTCTCCTTGGCAAGCGCCTCCTCAGTTCTGGCCCCTGGCTTTGCTGCCACGGCCTGTGCCCAGCTCCTCATTCTCATTCTCCTCTCCTGGGGCATCTGGCTTGAAGGGTTCCTTGTGTCCGGGACCTCCAAGGTCCTAGCACCAAGCCTTTCATTCCTCTCTGCCTCCCTCCACAGGCAGACCCAGGGCAGAGCAGAGCAGCCCCGGACCAACCACATTTACTGGGACCAAGGGGATGGAGTCAAGGAAGGAAGGAACACAGATCTTGGGGCTTAGGGTGGCTTCCTGGGAGACGTTTGATTTGCTCATTAGTTCCTCCCTCCCCTTCTTTCCTTCCTTCCTTCTTTCCTTCCTTCCTTCCTCCCTCCCTCCCCATCTCCCTTCCTTCCTTCCTTCCTTCCTTTCTGTCTTCCTCTCTCCCTTCTGTCTTCCTTCCTTTCTTCCTCTCTCCCTTCTCCCTTCCTTCCTTCCTTCTTTGCTTCCTTCCTTCCTTCCTCTCTCCCTTCTGTCTTCCTTTCTTCCTCTCTCCCTTCTCCCTTCCTTCTTTCTTTCCTTCCTTCCTTCTTTCCTTCCTTCCTTCGTCTTCGTCTCTCCCTTCCCTCTTCCTTCCTTCCTTCCTCTCCCCTCCCTCCCTCCCTTCCTTCTTTCCTTCCTTCCCTCTTTTTCAATACGTTGAGCCCTTGTGGTCAGCATTGTGCTTGGCCCTAGGAATATAATGATGAATACGGCTCATTCTTTGCTCCTAAGTTGCCCGTACCAGGTGGTACAGATAGACAAACAAAAAGGTCTCTTCCCTGAAAGCTTTTTAAAAATTCTGATGCTAGTCCCAGCGGCAGATCTTTGCTCTAGGGTGGGTCTGGAAATTGGCGTACTTGAAAAGCTCCCTAGGTGATTCCAGGGTGCAGCTCTGGTTATGGGTCCCCGATGGAGGGGCAGTCCCCTGCCATGGATATGGGCCTGGAGCTGGGAGCCTGCCCAGGGTTCTTGAGTCTGGGCTGTATTCCTTCCCACCGGGTGGCCTTGGCTGTGCCTCGTTAACTCTCTGTGACCTGGTTCCTTCATTTGTAAAACAGGCAGAGTGATACCTTAGGCAGCTGGAAGAATCCCGTGAGCTGATGGCACATGGCGGGTACTCAGCAAGCTTTGTCTGTCGTTATCAAGCACTGACAAAGGTGCACTGCAGCATATAGGAAAGGCATCTCACCTTTTCTGTAGAAAGGATGGGGCAGAAGGGTGAGGAGTTAGCTGGGCAAAGGGAGTGGGGAGATGAGGGAATGGGAGAATAGGAATTGTGGGTTGAGGGAGCTGGAGGAGGTGGCTGGCTCTTCAAGAACAAGAGAACAGCTCATGCCAAGGCTGGGAGGTAGAGCTGGATATGACTGGTGGGCCAGCGACAAAGCACAGAGTGGGCAGGAAGAGGCTGGGAAGTCCCACCAGGGTGTGGCTGAAAGCTCTTTGAGGGCTAGGGGCTGGGCTGGGGACAGCTGTGCTGTGACAGCCTCTCCTGCTCTAGCCCTGCAGCTGGTGAGCAGTAAGAGGGACTTGGTTCTGGTGAAGGAGGCGCTGAGCTGGTACGACGCCCAGCAGCACTGCCGGCTGCACTACACAGACCTTGCTGACCTGCAGCCAAGTGACCTGTTGAATCTCTACTCCCTCATGACCAGCACCCAGGCTTGGATTGGCCTCTTCTTCGACGCAAGCACGTCTGGCCTGAGATGGTCCAGCGGCTCCACCTACACAGCCCTGGAGTGGGTTCAGACACTGCCCGAATTCGGGGTGGGCATCTGTGCCACGGTGTACACTCGGCTGAAATTTCCCTCCATAGGGGCCGACTCCTGCACAGCCCAGAATCCCTTCTTCTGCTACTATGGTGTGTTCACATTCATATTTCAGGCTTGGTCTTCCCCCTAGGGGCCTCGCTCTGTTGCCCAGGCTGGAGAGCAGTGGCGGGATCATAGCTCACTGTAACCTCCAACTCCCGGGCTCAAGTGATTCTCCTGTCCCAGCCTCCTGAGCATCTGGGACTACAGGTGCCTGCCACCACACCTGGCTAATTAAAAAACAAACAAACAAACAAACAACCTTAATAGAGACAGGGTCTCGCTATGTTGTCCAGGCTGGTCTCAAATTCTTGCCTTCAAGTGATCCTCCTGCCTCAAGTCTCCCAAAGTGCTGGGATTATAGGCATGAGCCATTGGGCCTGGCCCAGGGTTGCTTTTCAATAGCAAATGATGGGGCGGGGAGAGAGAGAGCGAGAAGCACCCTTTCAGAGGATAACTGGTCATGACTTTACTGTTTTTGCAACATCACTTTCTCTCTGTGGCCTCTGTTTCTATTTCCTCTGCATACCTACTCTGAACACTCCATTAGAAAAAATGGGTGTAAGTCAGGATAGAATAAAAATAAAATCTGGAAAGTTCCTTTCTTGCCAATTAAGGATTTGGAGGAAGGAGAAAAAGAAAGGGAGCCAAGAGGGAAAGACAGGCTGGGGTTCGGGGGATGCATGTGTACCTATGCAGAGGCAAGAGCAGAATTCAGTGTCTCCTTCTCAGGAAGCACAGGTGGACGGTTAGGGTCTCAGAGCTGGGCAGCAGGGGAGCAGCCGTCCTCTGGGAGATCCCCTGCTTCCCGCTAAGTGGGGAGCGGGAGCCAACTCCTCGGGCATCGTTGTGGGAAATCCACCATCGGTACGCCATGCGCAAGGCTCCAGCTGTTGGAGAACAGCAGCTGCCTCCTTGTGTTCCACCGGGCCCCTCTCTGTCCCGGCTACCAGTGCCTCTGACTCCTGTCTTGTTGCTGTTGGGAAGATCATACGTGGGCTGGTTGTGGCATGCACAGCACTTGCCCGGTAAGAGTGTCACTTCCTGCTTTTCCCTCTGTCAGCCAAGGCTCAGTCCAACTCTGTGCCATCCTCACCTCTCAAATAGGGTTATGGAGGACCAACCTCACATGCACCCAACACAGCCACATGGCGCCTGCCCCGGGACCTTGGGAAGTAGCAGGTGGTGGCTGCTTAGATTTAAATGCTGGGTTCCCAAGGGAGTAAAGAGATTCCCACGGGTGGTAAGTGTGCCTCGGACCAGGAGGCCTGCAAAGGGAGGGGTGTGCCTATGGGGTTGTCCCCTGCTCCACACAATGTCCCCACACTCCACCAAGATGGGTCCTGACCCCTCACCTCTCTCCAGTTCTGCGCCTCTGCTGCTAGCACACGGGGTCAAGTCAGCGCTGTCTCTCCTCTGGGTCTGCCCTTGCCCCCTAAAGTCTGTTCTCTACACAGAGTGAGCTTTTAAAAAGGTTAATCAGATCACTTCCCTGTAAACAAAAGAATCAGTAGGCCCTGACAGCACTTAGAATCCTGTCCTTCTTTAGCCATCGGGCCTCGCCTCCCCTCTTTGGCCTCATCTCCTACTCCTGCCCCAGCCACATGACTTCCTTCGGCTCCTTCTCACTGCAGAAGCTTTGCTGTGGCTCTGCTTGGGCAGCTCCCCCTACCTCTCTGCAAGATTTGCTCCCTCTCATATTCTCTTCAAGAGCAAGGACTCTGCTTGTCTTATTTCTGTCATTTTTCCCAGGGCGTAGAATAGCGTCTGTGACCCAGTAGGTGCCCAGTATTTATTGAATAAATTGAATCAATGTAGAAAGGGATGGACGAGCCTGTCTGCCCCCGAGCTAAGTTTTCCCAGTGGTAACTGGGCAGCTCCTGCCTGCAGAGGATCCTGGGCCTCCCTGTAACTCGTGGTCTGTTTCTGTTTTACAGACCCTGATGTCGGGCACCTCATCTCCACGAAGCCCTCTGTCGGCCTGACCACCTCTCCAAAGCCAGGTACACACCTGCTCCCCATTCCCTTTTCTGGGAATTTGGCTTGTTTTGCCTTGGACCTCTCCATCAGGACCAACCGGCAGGATCCCCAACCCCAGGGCCCCTCTGTTCCCCTGACTCCTGCCTGGCTGTCCAGGAGGGATTTCCAGGCTTTGCTGTCCCCTGACTGAACCCCACGGAGACAGTCATTGTCTTTATTTTTATTTTTCCTTTTTTTAAGACATGGATGGCCTTACTCTGTCTCCCAGCCTGGTGTGCAGTGGCACACTCACAGCTCACTCAACATTCCTGGTGGGTGATCCTCCTGCCTCAGCCTCCTGAATAGCTGGGACTACAGGCACATGCCACCATGCCCAGCTAATTTTTTTGTATTAGTAGAGATGGGGTTTTGTCATATTGCTCAGGCTGGTCTCGAACTCCTGGGCTCTAGTGATCCACCTGCCTTGGCCTCCCAAAGTGCTGAGATTATAGGTATGAACCACACAGCTGGCCATTGTCTTTATTATTCTGATGGGCCCACAGGGGAGGGTGACTGGCTCTAAGTCTCCAATCAGAGACTGGAATCAGAGAGTGGATGAGCCCTTGGCTGCAGCCCAGCTGTCACTCTGGGGTTGGGGACTGGGTGGTTTCTCTTCACAGCCCAAGTACTTGCTCATCCATCTGGGGGTGGGGGCGGCTTCTCTGAAATAGTCCCCTCCGGTGTTACTGCCTTGGTATCTTTTAAAAAGTTTCTTCCTATCTGATATGGATAAGTTCTATGACAGAGGCGATATACTCACTCACTCTGCTCTGAGGAGTGGCTTTTCTGCATGGTATGGAGTACAGAGTTGTAGAGTGAAGATGGTGTAGGCTTCCCATGTTCGAACCTCTAGTATGACCTGAGTTTGGGCAGGTCGTTGCCTCCCTCAGCCTCCTTCTCTTCGTCTGTGAACTGAGGTTAATGACACCAACTTCTCAGGATAGTAGTGGGGTTTTCAAAGATGACACAGGCCACATGCATAGCTCAGGGCACATACTAGGGGTTTAATCAAGAGTAACTTTAAAACATCAGTTGAGATAGGGAAAGTGTTAGGGAAATTGGAGGCAAATCTTGATGGGCTTAGGTGAAAGGCCCATGTCCAAGTTTGGGAAGCTCCATTTGAATCTGAGGATGTGATTCCCGTCTCGGCAAACAGGAGTGTTTCCTCTTCTGGGCCCCCAGAATCAATGCCTCAGGTCGAGTCCCAGCCACTCATATCGTTTCCAATCTTCCATTGTCTGGAATCTCAGATGTGTGGGCTCATGTGCTGCAAGACGGGACAGGCCCAGTGAGGAGCAGGGTAGGCTGGGCTTATCCTACCTCACGACCTGGCCCAGTCCAGCCTCAGGCAGGGACTGGCAGAGGTGGCTGGCTGTGGGAGGCCGGCATCTCAGTCTGTCCGGCTTCCCCGGAAGGCAAGGCCACTGAGCCTGCTCCGCCTCCTGTCTACCGGGCCCGTGCCTCCAGGCTGGCCTCTTCTCCCTGGCTCTCCAGGCACGGTGAGCCTAGGAAGATCACACTCTTCCTCTAGCCTGCTCAGTCCTGAATTCGCCTGTGAGCCAGTGCGGGCAGGCACAGCCCCTAGAAATCACACTCGAGGGTGACCCCAAACCAAGATTATTCTGTCTTCCTCATAATCTCCCCCGAAATGGTCACTACTATCTTGCCAAGTGCTTACTATTAATATATCACTGTGCTAAACCATTTGCATATGTGATTTCATGTAATCCTGACCTTAGGTACTATTATTACCCCATTGTATAGATGAAGAAATTAAGACTTAAACTGAACTTGTGAGGCCATATAACTACACGAACTCTTAAGCCCTGCTTTCCCTAATGTTTTCCCCACCTGCCGCTATATCTCATCCATTCTTCCTACTTGGTATTTAGTCTACCTATAAAATTGTTGTTGTTTTGATCAAACCTAACACTCAAGGACGAGGGACAAGGGCCCATGTCAGACCAGAATTCTATCCCCAAGGATGATGAGGGCTGGGCTGTCAGAGACCCAGACCCTCAGGCCTGTGAGCTCCACATTCTCTGACCCCAGCTGTGGTCCAGATTGGCGGTCAGACCTTCACGCGATTTGACCAAGTGATGACATGGTCCTCAGCCCTGCTGTACTGCCGCAGCCACCACACAGACCTGGCCGACCTGCAGATGGTGACAGACAAGACAGGCAAGGAGGCCTTGAGATCCATCATGAGTGAAACTGAAGCCTGGATTGGCCTCTACCTCAATGCGAACTCTGGATCTCTGAGCTGGTCCAGTGACCTGGGGGCCAGCATCCCCTCCTGGCTGCAGGTGCCGATGATGGCGAGAGGACTGTGTGCAGCTCTCGGCATCTATAGGACCTACTCCCCAAAAGTGTACGCAGTGAACTGCTCTTCCCCGCTGCCCTTCATCTGCTTCTATGGTGAGTGAGAGTCTGCTCTTGCTGGCCCTCGGCCCACTGAGGATAGAACGAGGTGGGAAATGGGTTTATTTGGCAGCAGGTGATATTGAGGATAGTCCCAAGGAAGCACTTCTAGACTCTGAGGGAAACTGAGTTCTGGAGCAGGCTCCTGAGATACTTGCATTATAAACTTGTGAGGAAGTTGTATTATTTTAATTCTGGGGATCTTTAAATAATGGAACAGGCTCCATCCAGCCTGAGGGCACTGGCAATCAGAAAGAGCAATTCATTATTGGACAATGAAGTTAAAAGTCTGAGCTTTGGAATCAGACAGTTTACCACTTGCTAGAAATAAGGTGGGCAGCATCTTGGAGCTTCCTTCTCCTTATCTGGGAAGTACATTGAACAAAATGAATTGATGGCACCCACCTTATAGGATGGCTCTGAGGGCTGAGTGAGAAAGTGAATGTAAGGCGCAGAGTAGAAACCCTGGCACAGAGTGGGCCCCTGGTGGATGGGAGCCACTGTCATTGTTCTGTCCCTGTGAATGCATGGGAGCCCAAGCCTGCCTGGCACCCGCACCCTGTGTGATGGGCGTCCTTCTGCCTTGCTCTTTCCTTCTCTCCTTTCCCCTTCCCCCACCTCTCTTTTTTGTAAGTTTTATTGAGCTATAGTTCCCATCTTAAAATTTACTTTTAATTTTTAATTTAATTAATTAATTAATTAATTTTTGAGACA